GGACGTCTGGACCTCCTGGACCTCATGCGTCCGTCCGTGGGTGGAGAAGGGCCTTCTTCTTTCGCCTCAGTTTTCCCTGGGAGCAGGTTCCATGTTGTTCTTTAAGGCTGGGAGACCCTTGCCTCGTCTCTGCCCCTCAGTCCTCATTAAACAGGTGCGTCCACCCCTTCGTATGGGGTCTCCTAGACCTCCCGGGGAGGAGAGGCAGACCCTGGACCGGCGGGCGGGCGGCCGGCACCCCGAGGTCTCCTGCTCTCCCTCCTGAGCTCCTGTATGCCTGGCCCAGAACAGGTTCTCCCAGTTCTGCCACTGGCTTCTTCCTCCTGCCCCCGGCAAGGGTCCGAGGCAGGTGCATTTCCGGGTGCCGTGGGCAGCCCGTGGACTGCCTGGCGGTGGGGCGGGACCCTACGACACGTCCAGTGTGACCCCACCCCAGGCACTCCCAGCTCGGGGTCTGCCCTGGAAAACCACCGAAACATCCCCAGTTGAGGCGACCTAAGCCTGCGGGAGGGGAGCCCCTTTCTCTGACGCCCCATGCTCGCTGCAGTGCCGGGAGGCTGGGTACTCAGCTCCTGAGTTAGCCCCTTTCACGACTCCCTTCGTTTTACGGCTCCCCGGTCAGACGGCGACGTGGCGCTCCCTAAGGAGCCCCCCAGGCCAGCCAGGTGGCGGGCGGCGAGGCGCCTGGTCTGCGTGGCCCGGCACCCCGTTTGAGTGCAGGCCGCGCCAGGCGCGCGAGGCAGGTGCCCTGGGCACCGTCGCGCTGCAGAGCCTCAGCGGTCTGGCCGGGCACCGCGGATGCGCGCACGTTGGAGGGCCCGTGGCTTTCTCTGCTGCTCCGGGGGCCCCGACCACCCCCGCGTCCTCACAGGCCCACGATGCCCCGCCTGATCGTGCCAGGGAAGGGGTCACGCGGCCCGGCGGTCTCCATCGGGGCCTTCACTCGCACCTCCTGACCCCAAGTTCTTCACACGCTGCGGTGGACAGCGCCATGAGCCAGTGCCGGGGTGCCGGGGACCTCTGGACAAGTGTGGGGGGCACGCGTGGCTGTGGCAAGTGGAACCGAGAGACTCGCCGGCCCAGGAAGGACGAGGGTGCCTGGTGGGCCCCGGAGCTGGGCCCGCCTCAGGTCAGGTCAGTTTGTGCCCCGAGGAGGGACCTGGGGGAGAAGGAGGGGCCCCTGGGGGCACAGAACTCCTAGGGGAGTGAACGCTGTGTGTGCCAGCCCCGCGGGCACCGTGTCCAGGGGCTGCGGGGAGGGGCCGGGCCAGGTGGGCGCCAGGGCCGCGCCTGAGAGTCGGGGTGGCAGAAGGCAGACTCCCGAGCCCTGGCTGGGCCTCTCTGCTGCCCGGTCGGCCCTGCAGGCGGGGCAGGCCTGACCCTCACGGTGCCCTGCGGCCTCCGCATCACGGCCCCCGGGCCCCACGGGGCGCCCCTGGGCGGTTCCTCCTTCCCTGGCCACTTGCAGTGGTGAGAGACCATGGGGTTCCCAAAGCGGCTGGGTCCCGCCTGCCGAGGGCCCCGGGCCAGGTGGGGCAGGCCCCGGGCTTCGACACGAGCGAGTCCAGACAGTGCCCGCCCGGCCCAGCGCTGACCGAGGCTGCCGCACGCGGCCCTGGGCGCTGGGGCCCGGCCGCCCTGTCAGCAGGAGGCAGGGGGCACCTTTGCGAGGGAGGGGCAGGGGGCCGGCACGCCACGGAACTCGCCGGAGGACTCCAGCTCTGAGATTCAGGGCAGGCCGAGCTGTGGGAGCTGCCGGCCGCTGGCGCCTGGCTCTGGCAGCCACTGGACCAGCATTAAGGTGCCCGCAGCAGTCGGCACCCTGGCTGTGGGGGGGACGGGACAGAAGGTGGAGCCTGGGCTCGCTGTCCAGCCCATAGGGCAGCCCTGTGTCCTGCTGTGGTGTCCAGGGGCTGGCTGGGCTGTGCCCTGGGCTGGCTGCTCTCTGGCAGTGCTGGGGCGGTCTGGGGCGCTGCCTGCACCCGCAGGTCGGACTCCAGGGCGGCGGCGGGCAAGGGCTTGGCCACCAGGGACCCTGCAGGAGCGGTGGGCCCGGTGGGCTCTGCCTTGGCCCCCGCTGGCCAGGTGACCCTGGGGAGTGGGTCTCAGAGCCCCCATCTGCCCGTGGCGCAGCACCGGGAGCCTCCGAGAAGCCCGGGGTGGTGGTGGCCACGGCCTGAGAGCGGCCAGTGCAGTGCCAGCTGGGTGGCTGCGGGCGCCAGGCTGGACCAGGAACTGGGGGACGCCCGGCTCACCCCCCTGCTGCAGAGCTGCCGTTTTGAGCCCCGAGGCGTCCCGATGTTTACCGAGATGCCAAGGGTGACCCCGGCTCTAACCTCCAGTCCCGCCCACGGCACGGTCTGTCCCTCCTCGCTGACCAGGGCAGATGCAGCTGGCATGCAGCCTGCAGACACAGCGGTGCCCACTCTCCCTCGGTGGGACCCCAGTGGCAGCGGCCAGGAGGGTGGCCAGGACAGTCCCCTGGGCCAGGCGGTCCCGGGGGGCCTGCTGCTGGGGCCCCTTGAGTCAGGGTGCCGCCGGGGTCTCTGCTGCAGGCGGTGAGTGACGGGAAGCCAGTGGGCAGAGCACTGAGCCCCGAGCTGGAGGCCAAAATGGGCGGTCACCCGTGGGCCACGCCCCCTAGGGTGGCCAGAAAGCGGGTGCTGAAGGGGCACAGCCCCCAAGGTCACGCCCCCTGCAGCCCAGCAGGTACTTCCTGAACGAAGCCCGAGGCCAGGCCCGAGGGCCGGCGGGGTGGCAGAGGGCAGGAGGCCGGCGCCCCCAGGCTGACCACGACTCTTGTTCCTGAACATCCTGTTCAGCCGCTGGGGTCGGATTCGTCCTCAGCCGGAGGCGGCCAGACCCGCGGGAGGGACAGCCCAGACCACCAGGGAGGCCGGAGGCAGCCAGGGAGGGAGCGCAGCCCGCTCGGATGTGGGTGACGGGCGGCGACGTGGCGGGGTCCAGCCGAGGAGGAGGCCTGAGGCGCCGAAGGT